AAAAGTTTAGCAAAGGTAGAGAGCAGTGAACGAGTGAGCTCAACAAGTAGCTGGGGGAAGGGCTGAGTGTTGAAGGTATAGTTCAAAGATATATCAAATGAGTGTTAATGACCAATTGATCATGAAGAACGTTGGAGAAGAGAAAAACCAGAGAACTGGAGTTACCGGTCTAAGTGGTTTCAGAGTGAATTAAAAAAAGAAATAACTTGGTATGTGTTTTTCATTTGCATTAGTTTGGTTTATATTATGAAGGGCTAGTGAGGGCAATGACTTATTTGGGACGTATGAAGACATCAAGCAGCAGTACTCGATGAGCTGTCAGAAACACAGGCTGTAGTGCTCCGCATCCGGTTATGAGCCTGAAGAAGAGACTTAGGAGCCTCCAGTTCCTAAGAGCAAGAGGAATGGGTGCAATCACCAGAGAGAAGAGAGTGATAAGGCACTAAGCCCTGAGAAAGGTTAGCAAAAGTGGGTAGAAGGGGTGAAATAAAAAGACACCGAGTGAGCAGTAAGAATGGGGAGCAAGGAGGTCAACGAAGGAAGGGGTTGTGGGATCCGAATGATAAGAAAATTTCAAGATGGTATAAGTGGGTTAAAAAAATGCCAGATGAGGCAAGATTTCAAGTAGAAGGACTAAACAAGTTACTGTTACAAATGGCAAATTTGGAGATCATGGGGGGCATCAGCAAGGGAAGCTCGTAAAGTTTGAGACCAGAATTCATACTTTGATGGGATTAATTAAAGAAGACCACAGGAAGGCGGCATGTATAGAAGACTAGAGTTGTTCACCTGTGAAAAGAAGGAAGAGTTTCGAGTGTACCTGTAAGGTGAAAGGAATGTTCAGTGCGCAGGAAGGTATTGAAGAGAGGGATTGATGGATGGCACTAAGTTCTGTATCAGAAGAGAGTAGGTAATATCAATAGGTGTCCTCAGCATCTTAAATAAAACTTGTTTCATGAGGGAAATAGTCATCACTGTAAATATCTAATAAGCAGCAGAAGAGAGTGAATGATTTTTGCAACTGTTGAGACAGCTCAAAGAATCCGATGTTATACTGTTCATATAAGACACAGGTAAAGGCACATAACCCAGCAGGTGATTTAAGGTAAAGAGATATATCTCAGCCAATGTCAATAGGGTAGAGAGGCAGTGACCTGCAGGAGAAGGGAGGGATGTTCCCTGTCAACCAGGCAGTCCTCACCGTCCCAAACACGGCACCACCCAGGGTTCACCTTTGGCTGCTCAGACTGGGAGCTGAAACTTCGCTTTTCCCCCTTTAGGTTTGGAATAAATAAGGGCAGTTCCAGAGAGAACATGCAGAGCTTAATACGGGCAGAGGCACTGTGAGAACGGGGGGCATGGGAGGAGCTCTGAAGTCTGAATCACTCATGGAAAGACAAAAAAATTAAAAAAAAATACAATGGTGAGAAATGTTTTGTTTTACAGCTTTTGTTTAGAGGTTTAAAACAAAAGACAGATTTGGACATTTTTCTTCAGTTCTGATTTTGGAGATCAAAGACATCTTAGCAATTAGAGTAGAGAAAATGGGGGTTACTTACCCATTTTGTATGGCAGCTGTGGGGTCATAGGTCAGAGCCATGCCAGCCTGTATGTAAGAGGGAGAGGGGAGAAAACAGATCTTAACATTTTATTGTAGTGGCCCAAAGATTCACTACACGCAAAGACTTTNGCACATAGAGTTAAACTACATACAAATTTCATATTGCCCCACGCTTCTATCACAATACCATTTCTATTGTATCTTGTCCGAGAACTATCTACAAGTCCATTGTCCCCGACATGATGGGAACATTTTCTTTTTTCAAACCTGTATCACAAAATGATTTTAAATAGAGCAATAGACAGATACTCAAAAGAAAAGAAAAAAGTTGTTGACCTGCACTGAGTCAGCATGAAGCAGTGCTTAATAATATTAACTGGGTAAGAGGGAGTTGCAGCTATATCTTTGGGGCCAGTTTCTTCCCCACAGTAATAAATATTTCTGTCTCTGTTAGGCTACTGCTCTCTGAGGTGGGTTTGAGTGCTAGATCGAAAACAGCAATATAAGTAGGGGAAAAATACTTTATTCTAGACATTCATGCTCAATTCTGCAACAGGCTAAGTTATCTAAATCAGATTCCACACCTGTAATGGGCATGTGGCATGTTAACTCAAGGGGCAGTATGCTGAGGATATCTTTGTGGTTATTTTGACATCTTATGTAGAAATGATTGTTCTACTAGTTTCCTTTTATTTAAATGCTACCATATGAGGTAATAAAACCAAAGATGAACGAGACATTTAAAAACCACCTATATGAAGTATGAAATGAGTAAGAGCAATTAGCTATCATCTTCCCTTTTTCTCAGTTTCACGATGTAACATTTTTATCTCCCTGTCACCAAAAACACAGTGGATAGCCTAAGGCTTCCAAAACTTCATTCTCAACCCAGGATATGAGAAAGTCATGGGCAGCTTGGATGCTTTGGGTTGTATTTAAAGGGATTCAGATGAAGGTGTTACATGGGGTCGAGGGTGGGTTGATGTTGGGAAGGGAAATGGTTTCCCTAATGCCAACTTGCTGGAGCCAAACAGATGTGATCGGTTACATTTCTATTTCTGATCTGGCACACACAATCTTAGGTAAAACAGTCTATAAAGACGAATAAGACGTGGGACCTCTCTTCACTGAGTTAACAGTCCAGCAGGGAAATACATATGGGGGTCAATGGCTGCGGGATAAAAAGACTCAAATATATCATGGGAACATCAGATATAGGGCAACAGCAGCACCCATATTTACACTGATGACTACACTGTGCCACACAGGGCGCCTTCAGTCCTGACCGAGTCTTATGAAAAGGTACTGTTCCTCGTGTCTCCACTTCACAGAGGAGAAAGACAACTGTCTCGCTTCTGGTGACTGACAGAATTTGGATGCATATTTGGGCAGGCCGGTTCTGCAGTCTGCACTCTTAACCGCTGCTTGTACTGTTCCTCTCATGACGAACTGTGTAACCAGCTCTGTCTGGTATGATGTGATGTTGCTGTTTAAATGGGAGCTGTTTAAAAAGAAAGAGAGAAAGAAAGGAAAAAAGGAAGGGAGGGAGGGAGGGATGGAGGGGGGGAGAGAGAGACAGAGGAATATTACCATGCCTGAACTCCAGGCAGAGAGAATTCCATGAACAAGACGGAGAGATGTAAAGTTGTGAGAGAGAGACTCTGAGAATCACAGAAGGACCAGTTCAGTTTCAGAGCCAGACCGTATGGTTCTTTTCGTGCCATTCTTGGAAGCTCTAGTTTTGTTCTTTTGTTAGTAAAGTCCACCAAATACTTTAAACCTGGCAGGGAGATGATTCCTAAGATCACATTTTGCTTTTAAAAAATTAGTCAAAAAGCAATGTGAAAATGGTTTGGAGGAGAGTTATAGTAGAGGCAGGTAAAAGTTTAGCAAAGGTAGAGAGCAGTGAACGAGTGAGCTCAACAAGTAGCTGGGGGAAGGGCTGAGTGTTGAAGGTATAGTTCAAAGATATATCAAATGAGTGTTAATGACCAATTGATCATGAAGAACGTTGGAGAAGAGAAAAACCAGAGAACTGGAGTTACCGGTCTAAGTGGTTTCAGAGTGAATTAAAAAAAGAAATAACTTGGTATGTGTTTTTCATTTGCATTAGTTTGGTTTATATTATGAAGGGCTAGTGAGGGCAATGACTTATTTGGGACGTATGAAGACATCAAGCAGCAGTACTCGATGAGCTGTCAGAAACACAGGCTGTAGTGCTCCGCATCCGGTTATGAGCCTGAAGAAGAGACTTAGGAGCCTCCAGTTCCTAAGAGCAAGAGGAATGGGTGCAATCACCAGAGAGAAGAGAGTGATAAGGCACTAAGCCCTGAGAAAGGTTAGCAAAAGTGGGTAGAAGGGGTGAAATAAAAAGACACCGAGTGAGCAGTAAGAATGGGGAGCAAGGAGGTCAACGAAGGAAGGGGTTGTGGGATCCGAATGATAAGAAAATTTCAAGATGGTATAAGTGGGTTAAAAAAATGCCAGATGAGGCAAGATTTCAAGTAGAAGGACTAAACAAGTTACTGTTACAAATGGCAAATTTGGAGATCATGGGGGGCATCAGCAAGGGAAGCTCGTAAAGTTTGAGACCAGAATTCATACTTTGATGGGATTAATTAAAGAAGACCACAGGAAGGCGGCATGTATAGAAGACTAGAGTTGTTCACCTGTGAAAAGAAGGAAGAGTTTCGAGTGTACCTGTAAGGTGAAAGGAATGTTCAGTGCGCAGGAAGGTATTGAAGAGAGGGATTGATGGATGGCACTAAGTTCTGTATCAGAAGAGAGTAGGTAATATCAATAGGTGTCCTCAGCATCTTAAATAAAACTTGTTTCATGAGGGAAATAGTCATCACTGTAAATATCTAATAAGCAGCAGAAGAGAGTGAATGATTTTTGCAACTGTTGAGACAGCTCAAAGAATCCGATGTTATACTGTTCATATAAGACACAGGTAAAGGCACATAACCCAGCAGGTGATTTAAGGTAAAGAGATATATCTCAGCCAATGTCAATAGGGTAGAGAGGCAGTGACCTGCAGGAGAAGGGAGGGATGTTCCCTGTCAACCAGGCAGTCCTCACCGTCCCAAACACGGCACCACCCAGGGTTCACCTTTGGCTGCTCAGACTGGGAGCTGAAACTTCGCTTTTCCCCCTTTAGGTTTGGAATAAATAAGGGCAGTTCCAGAGAGAACATGCAGAGCTTAATACGGGCAGAGGCACTGTGAGAACGGGGGGCATGGGAGGAGCTCTGAAGTCTGAATCACTCATGGAAAGACAAAAAAATTAAAAAAAAATACAATGGTGAGAAATGTTTTGTTTTACAGCTTTTGTTTAGAGGTTTAAAACAAAAGACAGATTTGGACATTTTTCTTCAGTTCTGATTTTGGAGATCAAAGACATCTTAGCAATTAGAGTAGAGAAAATGGGGGTTACTTACCCATTTTGTATGGCAGCTGTGGGGTCATAGGTCAGAGCCATGCCAGCCTGTATGTAAGAGGGAGAGGGGAGAAAACAGATCTTAACATTTTATTGTAGTGGCCCAAAGATTCACTACACGCAAAGACTTTTACCTTTACTTTCCTTGATTTAAGTCTATTTTCTCCTATATATTTCTCCATCGTTATTGCGGCCAAGACAAGCATTTTTACTACCCACACACCAGGATCCACCAGTGAGTTGGGGAGTTTATATTCTATATCCAGACAAACCAAGGAACAGGGCAGCTTGGAGGATTTCCATTTCACTTCATAAACCATCTGCTGTCTAACCCAGTATCCTTATAATTCCTCACTATTGTCAAGACCACCTATTGTACAACTCACGGCATTAAAAAAAAAAGTAAGGCTGAATCTTGTGTGGTCAGGATAAAAATAAAAACTCCTTAAAATGCATCGAACTTTTAGAAGACAATGTTAAGAAATATTTATTTTAAAATAGATCGGATGCCTGAGGGGTATGTAGGTAATGAGCCACAGAGTGCTTGTCCAACACACTGCTGGTATTTGTGTGTTGGACTAAGAGGGGTGGAAAAGGAAGGTCATTGACACTTGATGGACATTCTAGGCCTCCTGGTTAATGAGGAGGTGGTTTTATTCTGTTTCTAAGAAGAAAACCACCTCTGGAAAGCTATAGTTCGGGAACTGGCAGTAGTTTGAGAAGAGAGTCATGACCGCTGACTCACAGGCCGCCTCGTTCCTTCATATACATCGTTGCACTTGATCCTCACACAACCCTATGAAGTCTGCAGGAGAATTATTTTCTCCATTTTATAGATGAAGACACTGAAGCTTGGAGAGGTCGAGTGACTTGCTCAAGGTCACGTGTTTGGAGGCAGAACCTGACTGCAGCCCGTCTGCAGATGTGGGCTCCCTTCCACAGCCCTGCTGTAACCTTGACCTAGGAGTTGGGTGATATCTGAGAGCCATCGCTGACAACCTCGGCGAACTTTCTCTGTGGCTGTATGGACAGACCGCCCTCTGTTTTCCAGGACTGTCAACCTGGTTATCACTTGTGAGCAGAAAGAAAACAGAACAAAATTTAAAAGTGACTAGGTTGTTTTTTTCTTTTTTGAAATTTAAAAGTGAATTAGACTGATGTCAAATTCCTGGCATTGCTAGTGCCCTGTAATTACCTAAGATATAACCATTGGGTGCAACGAGGTGGGGGGTATACAAGACTTCCATTCTAATTTCTTTTGTAATTCCTGTGAATCTACAACTATTTCAAAATTAAAAGTAAGACACAAAAAATAAATTAGCTTTTGAGGACTTCTGTAGAGATTAAGAAAAATCATTAAAACTTTAAAGAAAAGAAAAAAAGAGCTTTTGTGTTTGAGTTTCTTCCAGTGTGGTCGAAGGTGGTTTTCCTGCTAGGCTTGTTGAATTCCTTAGATTTAGCACCTAACTGAAACAAAAATCCTCAGGCTTCCTAGGGTGGGGCCTGAAGTCCAGTGTGGCCTGCTACATTCAAGCTTAGATTGTATCCTTATTTTCTCTAAATAATAACTTGTCCGTTATTACCAAGATTGGTATGAGGAACAAAAGGGTAGAGCCAAATATGAATGGAATTCACATGCAGAGAGCATATATACATTGAAACAGATCGCAAACAACACTGAGTGACTGTCAGAAGTTAATAGAGGTGCGCTGAGGACCCGATTAATGATAACCACATCTTACTCACGTTAGAGAAATAGGCAAGTGATAATGTGGTACGCTGGGGGAATGGGAAATGAGATAAAAGAACTGAAACAAAAGCAGATTTTTGTCCTTTGCCTATGGTGCAAAGTCTAAATTCTTTCCAGGGATGGGGCCTCTGCCACGTGACTGGCAGGAGGAAGGCCCTAGCCCGAAGCCTTCCCAGAATGAAGATGACTAGAGTGAGCTGAAACTCCATGGTCCTGGGTACTACTGAGAACAGTGGTAAAAGCAATCCATGTGGGGTGAGATTTCCCTCTTAAAAACACTAAGCTTCTCTCCCCTAACTTATCCAAGATGCTGCACTAGGGTTGAATGTCAAAAATGGGCTTTATACTCAATAGAGATATTGCTGGTTCATGAAAGTTTAGGGAGATAATCGTATCTTCAGTCTCCCAACTACCCCAAGTGGTTAAAATCCTGGAGACTTATAGGAAGCTTCCCTAGTCAACCCCAAATCCACTTCTTTCCCTGGTAATTAGCCCCCAGTAGTGCTCAAACACCAATGCTGTCTAGCCTTTCTTGAACTATACGTTTTCTTCAACATTCTCTTATGCTGGGTTTGTTCTGGCAACTCTAGGTAAGGAATTTTTATTTTCTCTCCCATTTTATTTGAATTCCTCATGGATTATAGTTAACCAATCGGTTCTGCTTAGGAACACAGCAATTACCAATAACATCTATCCATTTGTTGAATACATATTTGATCACCAGAAAGGCTAAGCTGGCCTCTTCCTCTGTCTTAAAGCTCCATCCGCCTTTCAGAAGATGGAACAGAACTGAAAAATGGCAACATGGTTTAGTGGAAAGAATACATGTTTTGGGCCTGGGTTTAGGTCTTAGCTCTGGTATTTTCGAGCAGTGTGGCTTATTTGAGCCTCAGTTTCCTTAACTGTTTGGTGGTGGAGTAATACCTACCTTACCTGATTGTTATGAAATTTAAGCGAGATTATGTTTGTAAAAGGCCCAGCACAGTGCCTGGAGACAAGACACATACATAAATATTATGATGCAAAGCTATATGTGATGAGCGCCATATGAGTGGTACATGGTACAAATGAGGTGTCCAGGAGAGAGGCTGGGGGTGATTAGGGAAGGTACTTGGATGAGGTACAGCTGAGTGGCAACTTGAAAGATGATTAGGATTTCCACAGATGGAGATGAGTGGTGAAGGCCTGCTCAGGCTAACGGAATAGCATGGAAAAAAGTGTGTACATAAAAAGGGCAAGAGGAGTGGCCCATCTGCGGTAGAACACTGGAGGGAGCAGTGGGACATAAGACTCCAAAGGAGGGAGCATCTTGATGGCCTGGCTCCTCCTGGGGAGCCATAGAACATTTTTTTTGAGCAAGAAAATTATACAGTCAAAGAGGGATTGGACAACAAGAAGCATTACGAGCCTCCTGGAAAACAGGGTAAATCCAGAGCAATGAGCAATGGGAGTAGGCACTTGGGGACAGGGAGGTAGAAAGTCTCTAAGGTGAGACTGTCGTTGCAGAAAGGTAGGGAATAAAAACAAGTTTCACCTACTTCATGATTTTGCCTAGGGACAGTCCTGCCTCTCAGGACCTTTGGCAAGAGGAGACAAGAGATAGTGTCAAGTCATATGCATTTGGAACATTGTGGGTAAGAAAACAAGGCATGGGGTCAACAGCAGGTTCTTTCAACTTCACCTGTTGGCTGAATGTCGTAACACTGGCTGCACCTGGATTTCATTTCACATGTAACAGATTGCTGAGTTATAATTCTAGTATGGTCTTAAAGCAGATTTTGCATTCAATTTCCTTTTGTTTCCTTCCATAAAGGTAAAAAAGAAAATCAATTTTGCTGCTATGTCTAGCTACCTTTATCCTAAGCCAGAACCATGAAATCATCATTATGTAATTACCAAATTTTATGGCATGTTTACAAACTCCAGGGTCACACCAAAAGTAAAATAACTTGGAACAAAATGAAAATGTCACACCACATATGCAGAAAAGTGATATTTAATCCTGTCAATCTTTCAGGAAAAAAGGCTTTTAGATTCACAAATATCTTCCAATTCTCAAGTTCACATTATTTGTGTGCTGGAGGCAATTATAATTTATTTAAAATGCAAAGGGGCATTTTTGTCATTTTTCAGCAGCAGCTGAATTTTGGCTTAGTACTTCAGCCATATGTCTAATCCTTCCAGGCAGAGTCTATACTATAAGAGCTAAGTATTTTAGAATAAAAATTTAAAATATAGCTTATCATAGCAATTAGGGTATCAAATCATTTTCAATATTATAGCAAATTCTTTGAGACACATCAGTTTGACCTTGGAGTTAAATATTTGATATTCATAACTTCAAACAATTAACAGGTTAAATGAAGGGGTAATAATTATGGAAATACTGCTTAAATGCACATATTAGGGACTAACATGAAAGCTCTCCTAGACTGCAATGCTTGGTCTCATCTGAGGAGCAGAGCATCATTGGCTATGATAAAGCCAGTGAAGAGGTAGGCTGAAAAAATGGTTCTTATCACTTTTCAAACTATTTTTACACTGTAATGTGAATGGAGATCAAAAAGTTTGAGGCAATAAACTTCATACAAACAGATACACACAGGAATTCCTGGAAAATTGAAACATTAATGTTTTAGCCTAACGTTTCCCCTTTTTCTAAATTCTGCGCTGACACATGAGTCATCAGAGTTGGATGAGTTACCAATGAATAATGGCAAGGATTTCCAATCTTCTATGATCAGCTTTAAAGCAACATTTTGGTAACTATGTAGTAAATTCTGTATATTTTAGTAAATATTGCGTATTGAATTAGCACAAGATGAGTTCCAGAAGGCAAAGAAGAACATGAGAATACAGTTTTCTTCATGTCATCTTTAAGGAGTTTATTTCTTGCAACCAATTTTAACAATATTTACAAGTGTTAGTTAGTGATGATTAAATCAATAAAGAAAATAAGATGACTGAAAAGATGATGTGTCTAAAAGGGGCTTCAAAATGTGTTATACAGCCTGGCTGGCATGACTCAGTGGTTGAGCATAGATCAACCTAGGATCCAGGAGATAGTGATTTGATTCCTGGCCAGGGCACATGGCCGGGTGGTGGGCTCGATCCCCAGTAGGGGGCATGCAGGAGGCAGCCGATCAATGACTCTCTCATCATTGATGTTTCTCTCTCTCTCTCTCCCTTTCCTTTCCTCTCTTTGAAATCAATAAAGATTTTATATATGTATATGTATACACACACACACACACACACACACACACACACACACATATATATATATTAATGTGTTATA